AATTAGAAAAGTATGTCTACTTAATCGGGGCTCAGTTCGGCCAGAAAGCACAAGAAATAAAAATAATCACTATCTCTTGATTAAGGAAGAATCAATGCATACATTTAACGTTGAGAACGTTTCACAGCGATGTAAACGACTGTGTAGCAAGAAGCTGAAAAGTGTAAAATTTCGGATTACCGCGAAGTGAAATCTGAGCTTTCGGTGCGATAACCGTTTTTCGTGAATTTCTGCCGTTATATTGGATATTTCAAAAAACCAACTTGATTTCCGTCAGTTACTTACCTAGGCCTTCAAACTGGCAAAGTACGAGCAAAATCGATTTTTCGACCGTGGCCACATTTTAAGAATTTTCTTTGATTTTTACTGACATTTACTCTCAATTCCTTTCATTTTTCAATACAGAAAGAAGTGAAAGAAGAGATGGAAGAGGAGCCTCATCAAGTCTCTTTCACTTGAAAGTCAGGGCCCAAATCTGAAGCAAGTCTTTACAAACCGTCTTTCTCGGAGGAAAAAAGTGAGTCACCAAGAGAAAAGCTGAACAAGTTCCTCGCCTCAAGGGATATTAGTCCAATCCGCCATTCTTTGGATAAACCCTGGATAGAACCATCCGAAAGAACAAAACGGCATTATACCCGAAAGGCGCGACAAACTGTTCATGCTTTATTGAATGAAATTGCCCCTGAGAACTCTGAGATGCTTTTCTCCTCACTCGTTAAATCAAAGCTTGAAGAAAATACTATCGACTCATCCCTGATGGAATGTCTAACCGANTTTTCGTGAATTTCTGCCGTTATATTGGATATTTCAAAAAACTAACTTGATTTCCTTCAGTTACTTACCTAGGCCTTTAAACTGGCAAATTATGAGCAAAATCGATTTTTCGACCGTGGCCACGATTTCTTTGATTTTTAGTGGCAATTACTCTTAAATTTACAGTGTTGTAGTATAAACGTGCCAATAGTTTCCGGACAGCCACCGTGGTTCCACAGAGCTTACGTTGGGTATGTTAGCAAAAAATGGATCGTTTCACACACATATAATAGTTCCCTTAATCTTGACTGGCGAATGCTTTCCTTGTGCGAGTTCTCGTTTGTTGTATAAAGTTTGTCAGTTTCTCTCTCTCTCTCTTTTTTTTTCTGCTAAAGAGTATGATAAATGTAACACGCCTTGCGCAGAACCCTAAATGGCTATGAAATAGAGCACGGTAGTGCAAATAGTCTCTGTATGGAGTGTAATTACTGCTGCATAGAAGCGGCCGAGAAGAATTAAATCAAATTGCTTTTCGAAGATCAAAGTCCTGTACCTTTTGAATCGGCGTCACTGGAGTGAGAAGAGCGAGCTCGCATTTTTCAGTAAACTGCCTCTAACTTTGTTTATGTAAAACCCACGTGCTGAACCGAAGGAATTCGCTGTGACGTACGTATCATTATTGTTACTATAATTGCAGTGTATCAATGGCTAATATCGTGAGTCCACGACATTTTGAGCACTGTGATGACGCATATCGTTGTGGATAAGAGCGCGGACAACGCTAATCCATGTTCGATTTGTTTTTTACCACAACATCAACGTCAAAGAAAATGTTTTGTTTGTTTGTTTGTTTGCTTGTTTGTTTGCTTGTTTGTTTTTCTCAGAGCGTGACCAAGAGCGTGACACATTGACGCGAGCAGCGTTGTCTGGACTCTTATCAACAACGGCAAATTAGCCAATGAAATTGTCAGATTATTAGCAATTGTGCTAACATAAATCATAGACAAGTGACATGCAACTATGGCTTATCATTTTTATTCTTCTCTGTTATCCAGGTTGCGTAACGTTGTAGCATCAACTCCAAACTCCTGCCATGGCCGGGGCAAACGATATTGCCATAATAACTGTGCACGGTATAGCATTCATTGTGAATATCGTGGGGAATTTTCTTGTTTGTCTGATCATAAAGAGGAACAGAGATATGAGGTATGCCGAGATTAACCTCGTGAAATTGCAGTGGTATATTAAAAGAAGCAATATTTACAACAATTAGTTTACACACATAGCTTAAGTCATCAAAACTTCCCGCATCGAAAAGCCTGGGGCCGGTTTCTCGAAAGCCCCGGAAACTTTTCGGGCCAGTAAAGCCATTTTTAGTTCATCTGTATCTAAATACGGAGAAGTGTATACGCCTGAAACTTCTTGAATGAAGAGGACCGCTGTTCATATTAAAAATACGTGAATAAAACAGCTCTGTAACCATAAGCTTCGAGATTTTGCTATGGCTTTCCGGGTGCGAAAGCTTTTCGGGACCTTCGAGAAACGCGCCCCTGGTCTTAGATGAGGGTATGGCAAAATAAACGTTAAAAAGAAAGGCCTGTGATTTGTAAAAGCAATCTAAAATATGGCTTTAAAAGCAATAAAATATATCGATTTTACAAATCACAGTCCTGGAAGCCTCAAATAAAGGTACAATCATGGACAAAAGGCTTGGAACGAAGGGGCACTCTTGGCGTTTTTGCTCACGCGTCAGACGCGAATACAACTTCACCTGCCTAGCCTCTCCTCCCCCCGCCCCATACACACACACAACACGTACAAATCTGCAGTTTCTCCCGAGTTTTAATATTGCATTGGGTGGGGAAGGAGGAACAGGAACGAGTTTTCAAAAGGATAGAAGTTCTTTTTTGAAAACTTCAGTTAATAAACACAGATAATTCCTTGCATTATTATATCATTTCTCCACGATTGTAGCTTCCAGCACATGAGTACTCAGGCGTAACATAAACGGGCCTCTACCGCTTCAGCCATTCGATTTCTTTTCGTTACATTCCACAGGAATCCCATCAACTATCTACTTGTGAACCTGGCTATTGGAGATATGATGTACGCAACGTTTATTGCACCGGAAGTTATCGCGGCAATCACTGGCAACCACCCAGGGGGAGTGGGTGGTACAATCCTGTGCAAATTGTTGACAGCTGGGATCTTCGCGTGGGTTGGAGGAATTTCCTCTACGGTCACTCTGGTTGTGATCGCCTTTGAGCGATATTTTGCAGTAATATATCCCCATAATAACAAGAGACTTAACAAGAAGAAATTGAAGGTACGCCAATGATTCATGCAGTGAGCAAGCCTGAAACTTGCGAACATTACAAAAATAGGTCCTATTTTCAACAATGCGGGTAAATTTTGACAGAATGTAAATATATAATTATATTGTAAATGCATAGACAGGTGTAAATTTAGGGACTCGCATCTAAGCACACATATCTAAGCAGATGCAAGCGAAGCGTAACAGATGACGATTCCGGAACACTGTCAGATATGCAGGGGCAGATGCAGCGGATGTTATTGCGAATAAAGATTTAGATAAAATATAAAACATACTTTCGTCTCATACTATCTGAGATTTTCGGATAAAATCGATCGCATGAAAAGCCCATACGGAAATTTCTTCATCCAATCACAATCGCGAAACGAATTTCGCACACGTGGGAAAAGCAATTCAACCAATCAGAATATCAGCTGTGCAAATGCAACGCGTTCACGTTGGCGCCTTTCTAGTCTTCATTCAGAGACGCTTGTAAACTTTTCACAAGTTTACACTAGTTTTATCGCAAATTAGCTATAACCCACAGACAATGGGGGAAAGTTCGAACAGGTTTATCGGTTTAGATAAACCCATTGAAGATTTCATTTTTCCTTTAGTATAAGGCTGACCTCGAGTGCAACTCTTTTAAAACTTTGTATATAGATTTCATCATGCGAGTTTGATAGCCATATTATAAAAGAATGACACAAGGAATTGAATGGTGACGAATTTTACGAAATTATACGTAAAATTATCAATCAAGGTAATCATTTGCTGCCAAACTAAGACATAAATTGGCCATCGTTTGTAGTGAGCGCCGTCATTACAAATTGTTATTTTCTTGTGGATAACTGTCATAAACGTTGCTCTTTTCCATTTCAGGTGATCATTCCTGGCTCTTGGATTTTCTCAGTGATACTAAACCTGCCATGGTTCCTGTTTCTCGAAGTGCAGGACGGTTACTGTAAGAATGTCCCGATGTACGGCCAGAACTGGATTCCCAGAGCTTATTCTTTGTTGTTTTCAACCCTGGTAGCTGTGTCTGTGGTAATGATGGCTGGGTTGTATTCCAGAATCGTGTACACCCTGTGGCTCAAACGTGTTGAAAACAATCAACCCGCCTTCCAACAGCGGGTAAGTACAAGTAATAATACAAATTCTCTTAATATGAAGGAATCCTTCGTTTCAGCTTCGCCTAAACGCGTGTCTTCCCCCAGGGGGTGCTCGTCGGAAATTTTGAAAAGAACTTCTAAGGGGTACCAAGATCCCGTTTTGTGGGCGTGGCTTAAACACCATAAATCCTCGAATTGGTGCCTCTCCTCAAATAAGCGCCCGCTTCGAATAGATGCCCCTCCTGTTGGCCAAAATTTAAAATAATAGTAATAATAATAATAATAATAATAATAATAATAATAATAATAACGAATCTTTAGACAGGATTAACCCATCAGTACTATAAAGTACTGTTATCAAAGGGGTCCTGTAAGATTTTAAAATTTAAAAATTTAAAAAGGTAAAAAGTTAAAAAAGGCGAAACTAGTACATTGGGAAACACATAAAAACTCACGATTAAAAAGTACAAATAAAAATGTTCGTTGGCCTTTTGCCTAAATAAAAGCCTAGAGTTCAGAGTTCTTATGTCCGCTGGTAAACTGTTAAAAATTGAAGTCCCTAAAAATGAAAAACTCCGACGGCCAAACTCCAAGTTCATTTTCGGCAGTTCGATCGAGGAAAATCTATTTCTTGTGTTGACATGCCATGTTGACATTTCTTATGTTGAAACGCCCTTCCCCTCGTAAAAGCAGCCCCTCCCCTCCGCCTGGTTTATGGAAGAGTGCCAAGCACTGCACATTGATCGTCGCAACGGATGAGGTGAAGATTTCAGATTCATTGCCTAAAGCCCAACCAACCTTGTGCAGTAGGTCTATACCGGCTAAGGGAGTTATACGACGGAGTTCTTCATAAGAGACAGGATCCTTTTGCGACTCCCAAGGGTCCGACATACATATATTACAAAAAAAAGAACGATCATATCTGACTACGAATTGGAAAAAAATAAATAAGCGCCCCTCTCGACTAAGCGCCCCGCGTCTTCTTCTAAATTTGAAATAAGCTCCCCGAGCGCTAATTCGAGGACTTACGGTACTTTTTTTACGCCTAAGAGGTATCAATTCTAAAACAAATAGCGATAAAGAATACCTTCGAATACCTTCTACTCGTGAAGCTGAATTTAAAATATTTCTGCCATATATAATTTTTTTTTTTTTTTTTTCAGTTCAATACCCTTTAAGGTATGGCGAAAGCTGCCGCTGTGGACCTTTTGAGACAGAAACGCAGTCAAGTCTGGGAAAGACACTCCTTGGCTCGGCTGACGGCACTGCGAATTCGTTTGGTTTCAGAAAAAAAAAAACTAAAAAGGATTCAAATAAGAGTAATCATATCAAAATACCGCTCCCTGAAAGCTAAAATATTCCAAACTTGGGATGATTATGTCAACCCCATTGTGTAGCTAAAGAGTACCGTGTGGTACTAAATGTTTTGCAGTTTTTAATTTTTGCGATTTTTGCGGTTACTTCCAAAAAAAAAAAAGTCACCTCAAAAACAAAGTTTCTGTAAAAATTTCCTCCGCAAAAATTTACTCCATAAAGAGCACGATGTGATAAAGCACTATGTAATAGAGAGACACTGATTACAAAATATCGCCAATTCGCAAAAATAAATTGTTGTTGCGTGATTTTCCTTTCGACCTCCCTTTCCACCAAAAGACGTCTGACAGTCAGTGTTTATGTGTCTTCCCAAAATAACTTTGACTTAAGTACCACTAGTGTAGGAGAAACGACTTTGATCGTGTAGGCGAATCGACTTCAATGTGGGCGAATCGACTTGTAGGCGAAAGGACTAACAGCACAATTATTTTCCCTTGCATGCGCGACAATATTTATAATGGGCTGAACTTAACTTTCCTGATGCCATGACTAATGCACGGTGATTAAAATGCTGTAAGTAATTTACTTATTTCTAGCTATTCTGGCTAATACTATTGCGCTGGTAGATTAGATTTTTTGAGAGAGAGGAACTTTGTAAATATCACCGTTTTTTTTTTTTTTTTTTTTTTAATTTCAGTAAAGATTTTATCAAAATAAAAGACTAATGTGATAGAGAATCTATGTAGGTCGTCAGTCTGTGGCATCGTTGTGATTAATGTGACGTCGCGACTGCGACTCTGTATGATACAATACTCACTATGACATCATAATTGACTTATCCTGTCACTGTTTTAGGCTACCCTTTAGCAGCTAACTTTCAAATTGTCTTGCTGATTCATTTGTAATCACCTTAATTGGATTTGTACCTCGCTACACGCAGGGCGTACTCAGAGTGCGGAAGCGAGTCACCTTGATGGCGGTAACTGTCACGGTCATGTTTGGGGTCTGTTGGGTGTCCGACATAATTGCACACACCGTGGATTACCACACATCTCTCAGCGTAAGTAAAGACACGTACTCCGTCATCCACACGCTTATCCTGCTCAATACTGCTGTCAACCCATTTGTGTACGCTCTGATAAACAAAACCTTCCGAGAGAAGATAAAGGAAATGATATGGTGTAGCTGTACCATCTCCACGGAATCTTTCAGTCCACCTGTAGTGGTGCCTCAAAACGCAGAGTTTGCCAATAAAGCGTATCAAGAATGCTCAGCGGGACCATCATCAAGCGAGGGAACATAATGGGATGAGTTTATCTTGAACAACATACTGTTTCTACAGTGTTTCAAGGAAAATGTTATAGATTCTTCGTAAGAGTAAACCCTTTCTGACCGCAAGGGAAGGGGAAAACTTTAAGCTGAAAATGTAAAACTTTGTAAGTCATTTATCTTATAAGTATCAAATTTTATACCTTATCCCAAAATTTAATGGTCAACATTTTGTCCTCGCCGCCTTAAATGTTTCCAAGGCAACACTTGGGACATACAGTGGAATCCCGATATTTCGAACCTCCAAGGGAAACGAGTACTGGCTCGAGAAATCTGATAGTTCGAGAAATCGGGGGTAAAATCACGGTGTTTAACTGGGAGAGGGAACGACTTTTGGTTCGAGTTATCAGGAGGTTCGAAAAAAGGAGGGTTCAAGAAATCGAGATTCCACTATCATTATTTAATTTGCTGTAAATCGATAATATTTCTAGGTAACATATAACACAATTAGGTATAAGTAAGCTAAGTTAACGTTAAGGCTACTTGGAGGAGAATCGAAAATTCAAAATTTCAAAATTTCAAAATCCTAGATGGTAGATTGAGTTTGCAACAAGATTCTTCCTCCCTGTAAAAGGTATTATTTCTTCATATTTTTGAATTTGCCTGCTTCGTTCTCTCCGTTGCTTAATGAAATGAATAGATTTAAAGAAAGATTGTAGTAATTTGAATGTCTGCCTGAAGTCATAATGACGTCACTGCTGATGCTAATGACAAACAAGCTATTATGAGTAGATATCACAATTCTATTAAACATTTCTCCGACAAACGTCCAGCTGTAAGATACGTTCCATTAGGATAGAAATATCGCCCTGGAGGTTGACTGAGACCATAAAATGAAATAAATGACGTCACATATGATGAGACATGGCACAATGGCACCAGAGTACGTGGTTAATAGCTTTGGAACGTGTGCCTGCAACATCTTTTGCTAATTTGTGGTGAAACCATAAGCAGTTTAATCTGTTCATTTACATTTGGTTGGAAGCAGTTAAAATAAAACATTTATTGTTACTTGATTTGTTTAAAAGTCATAGGAGTTTCAATTTCAAGCACCAGTTAGATTGCACGACAGATCCTTATAGACTACGAGTAGTCCCTCTTTCGCTTAGTGCGTCGAGCGAGACCGTAAATAAACCACGAGGAAAAAATGATCACGTGAAACCCTGGGGACGAGACGCGCGTGCTTCTCGCCCCCAGGAGTTCACACGGCCATTTTTTCTCGCGGTTTTTTTTCGCGTCAAGTACGACGGACTAAGCGTAATAGGAACTTATAGTGGTCTAGATCCTTAGGGGAAAACAATCTTTCATTCGGCCAAGCCTAAAAACGGAGCTCCTGATTGCAATAATTAACCATACAAAGAGGATTTGTTTGTCTTGGATCAGAAACTCAAAAAAAAAAAAAAAATCATCAATTGTGAGCATGTAATTGTTCAGCGTGTGGTTTTAATATTTTGTCTAGTTAGATTTAAATTTTAACAAGCTATACCCAATAAGTGTACCCAAGATTGTAGAAATTACCTAAGCAATATACCAGGGACTTTCTAAGACACGATTGTGCAAGGAAGATGTCGGGAGAAAATTAATCACCGCGCCCGGGGTTGATTTGCGCCGAAATTTTACCTTTGCATGTACTCCTTCCCTCTCCCGCAAAGTAATAACCTAGCTTGAGACGGCGATCCAGTCGAAAAACCAATATGTGGTCGATGAATTCTTAATCTGAACCCGCGATATGGTCACATGATACTGGTCAATGGATACCTCGTTTTGACAACTGTCATTTAATCATAACATGGATGTCCAATATCAAAGATGTGTTTATGGTAATGGCGGTGCTCCGTTCCTATTTTTCAAGGAATTGGGCTTAGCTTGGAGTACGCGCGTACGTATGAACAGGGTTTAGGGCTAGGGTTGTCTCAACTGTGCTCAACGATTTGATTACCGCGAGCTCGGCGGTATTCGGAAGCGGGGAGGAACCGCCGAACATTTGTTTGGCGGTAGCAAAAAACGCATTTGTCGGTTGAGCTTTGAATTTTAGAATCTGCATGTTATTGAAAGGCGCAGTAATCGTAGTTTTTATTTCTACATCAATGAAAACTATGTAGTGCGAATGCCATTTAGATAGTTAAATTAAGTCATAATGTCTGCATGTTCACCAGAGTAATTGTTTGGTAATCATTTCAACGACTCCTATACCACGTTTTACTAACTTTGGTAGTTAGGAAGTCAAAAAGTGGAACAGCAATTGTCATTTGAATGTTATTAAACAAGTGGCTGTATAATTGTAATCTATGGTTGTTTGCCTACATTATGAGCTAAAGTCGCTGACGAAGTATTGTTGGCCTGCAGTAGTCCGTCCACAAAAGTTTTCATTTTCTGCGAATTATTTTTTTTTTGTTATTCAGTCATATGTAAAATGGGGTATGACTTCATGAGGCTGCCATGGCAACTCAGATCCTGGTGAAACGCTGCTCTTCTGAACTTCCATCATGCCCCAGTACAGCAGTAACGTTTGATTTTCTGGATTGATTACGGTAGTGCTCTTGTCATCAAAGTGAAAGTATCGCTTATCAAAAATTATAAACCAACGCTAATGAACGATTTGAATATTCGCTCTTGATTTGTATTAGGGGTGATAGCTGATTCGATCAGCCTTTTTCTCGTCGATCGACTGTAGCCTTGACGAGCTCATAATCTAATTAGTCAGTCTGCGAGTTATCTTTACTCCTGTTTCAAAACGAGACGTCCTCATGCAATATCGTACATATGAAACTGACATTGATTTGCATGAAAATAAACCTCTAGAAGGAAAATATACAGTAGAGCCTTCACTAACAGCCACCTCTCTAACACCGCCACTTTTTTCTTGTACCGGGGAACAGTTCTTACATTTACGCGTGTTTTAAGCTCTTTAGAATGGCCACCATTCCACAACGTCAACGACCATCAAAACCCATCCCACAAGCTAAATAACCTATAACGACTGACCGTGCCGGTGTATACAAAACCCCATTTTTTTATCGTAAAGAGTCTCAACCGCCTGTTGTTGGTCTCTCTTCCTGTAAGTTTCTGTTTTATTGATACACTTTGATTTATAAAATTTGTGCCAATATAAGCATTTTTAAAAATGCTGAAATATTCTTTTTTTTGGGAAAAAAAAAAGGTGCAGCCCCGAAAAATAAACCGGTTTAATATTACTCCCTGACACCTTTACACCCCTACCTCCCCATATTGGATACCTCTCTACAGCGGCCACTTTCCTCTGTCCTCAAGGTGACCGTCGTGGAGAAGTTTGACTGTATACATATGAACGATTTCACGCTAAGACTCGTTTTGGCACAGAGGCAAAAGGCAACATGGAAATAGCCTATTGCTTTCAGCATTTTATTAACTGAGCAGAAGTTCTGCATGGGAGAATCTTGACCGAGGTCGTGAGTACAGGTCGAGCGCAGTGAGGTCTGTGCACACGACCGAGGTCAAGATTCTCCCATGCACACCGACTAAGCTCGGTTAATGAGATGTTTATTATATGGCGAACAATAAAAATTTAATTCGTTTAATGTAACTGATTTGTACTAGCTGACATTTTGCTTGCGATCGGTAATGAGCTGAACTGAAATCTGCCAAAGTTTGTTCGCCCTCTTAACTTTTCTCATCAGGCTTTTTGTCACTTCCATGATATGAATATTTTCTGGAACTAATATTTTTAGAAGAAAATAGTCTATTTTTGTATCTTAGTTTGCAACTCTTTCACCTCAAAATGCAACCGGTCTAGATGCCGGTTTAGATGGGAATATCTAGACTGCGGTCAATATCGGTTTAAGGCCAATCAAATTCGTGAATTCAGTAGTTCCCAGTCCTTTTGATAACCAGCCATAAAATAAAAAAAAAAATGTGATAGACCTCTTTAGCTTGGACGGTTTGTTTTCCAGTCGTACACCACGTGATATTCTCTAGAGAAGTTTTTTTTTATCCATCTTAAAATTATTCATTCATATACATGCCACTATTTAGAAATTTGAAAGCAAGAATTCTCAAGAGTATCATCACGTGGTCTGCAATGGGAAAACAAACCGCCCAAGCTAGAGAGGTCTATTTGAAACTTGCATTTGTGTAACAGTGTTGATTGGCTTTTTTCAACAATTTTGAGTTTTTAAAGTCCAGTAACGAAACTTCGAAATAAGAGAAAAAGTCGTCATTTTGTAGATGACCTCCAGTCATTTCACATTAACGTCTGAGATTGTGCGATAGCTCGGCCACTCTGCTTAAGAGTGTTGGCTTAAATAACCTACAGAATCAGTATCGTAGAGAGCACTCTTGTACATATAAATAACATGTTTACCTGTTATACTGATAAGGCGCCACTTATATCATCTTATTTTGATCGTGACGCATACTACACTATAGATATTTAACAGTATCTTTTTTGTGACGATGTAATGTGTTTTATTATCTATCACATAGATAAATCAAATGATTATCTTGACGCCATTGTTTACAAAATGTTTTCCGTCCACAAGAAAACGGAAAGCCGGTGTTTTCAAATTCCTCTGGTTTGAAGAACGTTTTCGAAAAGCTCCATGTTCGTGACGGATTAGTGTGGAGAGCAGGCCTGACCGTAGAAATAAAGCTTTGTTTTCAAATTTCTCCAGCGTAGTGTGGACAATGCCAAGGCAACTTGCCCAAGAACACAAAACGCTATAGTCCAGTTTCGAGTCCACAATGACCGCTGATTAAAAGCACTGAGAACGCATTTGCACAGGGTAAGCCTCTACCTAAAGTAAAATATTCACAAATTCCAGCGAGAAGATGACCTGTTTACAGCTCTGTGTATTATTTAATTTTCAAATTTGTGGCACCTTCCCGCCGGTATTTGTGAAAATTTCTTTCAGGTCGAGACTAACCCTGTGCAAATGCGTTCTCAGTGCTTTATTCAGCGGTCATGGCGAACTCGAAACTGGACTATTATTCCACCGTGACTCCAAGTCTTCAATTCGGACAGCTTAATTCACTTCCCGAAATAAAAGAAAAAAAAAAAAAAAGGTGGAGGGGGGGGGGGAGGGTGGTATTTTGGACTAGAAAGCCCAGTAGGTAAATACTGATTTGCTATTTTTACTAGTCACCATTGCTAAAAATAGCCAGGTATCTGATTGAAATATCTTGTATATTCCAGACTTACGTCCAGGTGAAAAGACCCGCTTATGCGTATACGTAATCCGAAATATTGCTATACATCATTACTTACTGTTTTTCTCACAAAGTTACGCCTCTTTACTTTATATCAACAGTCGAGCGATCTTAAACAATTTGTAATAATCTCTAGAATTTCCTGCGAAATTGTCTTTGAGCCGGGCACATAAAGTTGGTGAGCATGCGCACAACTACGTGATTCTCCGTAAACACTTATATTTATACGCAAGTGCACAACTGCATTGATATGCTATATGATAAAGCTAATACACTGATAAACAGACACCTTGAGATATTAACATTAAGAATATACTCATTCTACTAAAGATGGATGACGAGATAGTTTCCAAGGATATTTTATATCATATCAAAACAAAGACAAATATTAGCCTGAGATTGAATAGGCTTGAGAGCATATACGCTAGCGGTTTAGAACATAAAATTACCAAGGGCAACAATCATGCCTTAAAAGCTCTCTCCTTCTTATTTTCCCAGTAATTAAGAATAGCTTGGGCTGACTATAACGTGACAAAGGCTAACACTGTGACGCTTTAACATCCAGCTTTACAATCTTGCGTTAATTCGTGTTTCATTATTTCGGTAGACTCGTATAATTAGCGTAGGCTCAAACACGTTTCTTATTATCAGTATTGACTCGCGCAATATACAAAGCAGGAAGTAAAACTGCCAGCTTTCCTCCGCAATCCCAAATCCCGTAGCGCACTTTTTCAGATTATCGATTAGCAAGTCTTCTACTTTTCTTAAGACTCTCTGTTTTCTTTTTAACTGAAGCCAAATGGGAAGGTAAATTCTTGTACCCTTCTACTAAAGCTTTGAATGAGAAAGCTATTTTTGATCCTAATTGTCTACCGGGGCACTTGCTGTCAGACATGCTGTAGGACGCCTTAGGGTACTCATTCGCTTAATATTGTCAGTCTAAAATTGTACTACGTCATCAACTACGCACCATCCAATAACTACTGAACGAACCTGTTTACGTCTTATTCACACAGCTGGTTGGAAGTAGAGAAACAAGAAGAACTCAAATAGAGAAGAGAGGTAAATGTTTGATTAGAAAAACCTTGGACAACTGTTGCTAGCTTTTTCTAAACCTAATTGTATCACTTGTATTTTTATTATTATATTTTGCATTGCGTGTACAAGAGTGAGCGAACTCGAACTTATATAGCGTATTCGAGGACGTAAACTATGATACCTTAAACAATAACATCAGACATCTTTAAAAAGCCATGTCTTACCTCTCTCTGTTTACTATTGTCTGGATAACCAAAGTAATGCAAAAAATGAAGGATAGTCTATGTGATTTAATCAACAAAACACATGCTTATATGTTGTATTTGCAGGATTGTCTTACCGCGTGAGATCAATTAAGCAAAATTGCGCGAGCAAGTCAATCAGTGCGGTGAAAACGAATTACTTTAGCTCGAGCTTTAACTTATAGCTCGTTGTCGTTTCTCAGTGTGGGCTAAGCTAATAATGAAATAGAAACTCTTTATATTCTAACGAGTTTTAACCAGTTGCTGACTGAATCTCGATCAAAGAGCATGATATTGTCTGTCGGAATTCACATCACATGCCGCTCAGGGCCAGGTTGTTCGAAACCCGATTAGGCTAGCCCAGGATTAGGGAGAAATTTGATTTCAATTTTGTAACTTTTCGGTGAGGTTTTCTGTACATTGTTTGTCCTACAGTTTTGACTTTGAATAATCTTAAACTGCACAATAAATAATCCTGGGTTAGCGTTAACTGGCTTTCGAACAACCCGGCCCAGTTTCGGTTTGATCCCAGTTTCCACATAAAAACTCAACATTTGTTTTCCTCGGGGGCATTAGTCGTCGACAATGGGAGCATGGCGACGAGATTTCGAACATTTCCTTCGCCTACTCTGCCCTATCCGTCACACTTATCAACTAGTAATAAGTGATTATCACCAGTACATTATACTTATAAACTGGTAATATATACGATATGATCACTTATTATTCTTATGCATACCTTCGCTTTATCCAGGTCCTGTACCTCTGTAGCAGTGTCTGTCGACACTTTCCAGTCATGCCCGAATCAACTGCCATAGCAACGGTACACGCCATTGTCTCCCTCGTGAACATTGTTGGAAACTCACTCGTTTGTGTGATCATAAAAAGAAATCGGGATATGAGGTAGGCCCACATTAAAACTTGTGAAACCACGCTTATCCATTTTGTCTAAATAGTTTTTAAAAAGTCGAGATCACCAGTGTTTGGTTAAGGGTGCGTACTTTTGAATGCAATATCTTTCATTCGTTTCATCATTCGTGCTATCCGAAATGACCTCATAGGTTTACAATGAAACATTCAATGTTAGTTTGAGGATTTTTACATGGATTATAGCAGAAGTACTGAGGGGATAGGTGGATATTAGAGGATTTGAAAAAAATAAATGAAAAGAGAAATGAGGGTTTAAGGAAGATATAAAACTAAAGCTTTTTGTAATAAGTGATGGGCGGATTATCAAAAGAGGCTTTCCCCAACCTGACATGCTATTAAACCGGAGGTGTTAAACAGCTTCTCGTTATTGCATTCCTCATTTAACCTTCATTCATTTCCAGTAAAAAAAAAAAACAAACAAACAAAATATCAGTCGTACAATGTACTTCCTCTTTAACGATGCTCTAGGAGATTAAGAGAAAAACTAACGGAAAAAATCTCAAGGGCTGGCTAAATGAATTTCGTGATTGAACACCAACTACGGCATTTGGCGGGTTAGGCAGTAAAAATTTTGAAAAAAAAGAACTCCTTACTAAATAATTTTATTTTGGTGCAATGTTATATTTCATCTAGTGGCCAACACTAAAGATATTGGAATGTTTTGTCGCTTATCGGGTACTATATGCCTTTAATAAATGTAGGTACATCTAAAATTATCAAATTTTGTTCAGTTAAAATAAAAGGGAATTTATAAATTTGAATTACAACAGGAGCCATAATCGGGGACGGAGACCGTAAGCGCGCGCCATTTCTAGTATTGGGGTTGTCCCCATGATATGGGACAATAATTCTATTTTT